GCATGCGCAGCACTCCCGGGCAGGGAAAGTCCTCGACTTACGACCGGTTGGGTAGTCCTCGACTTACGACCGGTTGGGTAGTCCTCGACTTACGACCGGTTTAGTCCTCGACTTACGACCGGTTGGGGTTGCGGCATTAAAAAGGTTGAGAACCACTGATTTAAAGAGATAAAACCTTAGTCCCAACTCTTGGCTTGTAGTGCTGTCCCTGCAGTCACTCTCTCACAAAGGTACAGGGTCAGCAAATGCTTGGTTGATAAATGAAACCCTGGGCTGATTAATGCTTTTGTGTCAGAATTTGCAGAGCAGGAGAGAAAGATGGGGAAGAGCCACTTGTATGCAGAGACCAAGCAATGTCCTTTGATTAATGGCACAGTGGCTCTCCCAAGTACATGACCCAGAGGCCTAAGAATCTGCTTATAATTTTGGCTTTGTGGTGGCACGGGACAGAGGGTTGGATCTGATCCTCTCTTTCTTTGCTGGGGAAGAATGAACAAAGATAAATTGCTTGCCACCACCTCCTAAATTGGAGAAGACCGTCATACTGTACGTTTGTGCGTCTGAAAGTTTGCACGGGCTTTCCTGAGCATCATTGTGTTTGTATTAAGTGAATTTTAAGAATCGTGCAGTTTTCCTTATTTCTCCAGCTAGAAATGCCACCTTCGGTGGAATCGTGTTATTAGGGTGCAGCTTCTCTTCCTGTAGGGTTATGGCACAGAAGAAAGTTCTACCTGTTCAGTTCCTTTATTGCTGCTTGTTATAGCGTAATGTCTCCTTGACCCTCAGATTCTCACACTCCTTCTTCCCTTCCACAGCCGTGCGTTTTGGGCGCATCCCTAAGCGAGAGAAGCAGCGCCTGTTGGATGAGATGCAAAGCTACATGAACAGCCTGAATGAAGTCCCCATGGATGTGGGCCTGAGCTCTGAGGTGGATGCTCCACCCAGTCCTAATACCCAGGAAGAGGAGGCAATAAATGCCATCTCCAGGGCTTACCATGACATCTTCCTCAGCGGGCAGGACCGCCTAGGCAGGCGTAGTAGCTCCCCTGGGGCCGAGGCTGCCCCTTTGACCAACTACAACGAACAGCCGCAGCTGAATCATTCCCTGAGTTATGGGCGATACGAATCAGCCACTCTCCGCCTCTCCAGCTACAACCCTCAAGAACCACCCTGTTACGTTGACAACAGTCCCTCCTGCTATGGCAATGAGATCTTCCAGAACCAGCAGACCAGTTATCTTCAAAATGCTGGATGCTACCCACCCTTTGATTTTGGTTATTCTGAGGGAAATGTCCAGAGGAGCTGTCCATGGCGGGGAGCCACCAGAAGGGGCATTGTGAGTAGGCCAGTCTTATACTGGGGAGTGGTGGCTGGGGATGTGGAGATATCCAGCAGCATACAAGCAGCTTTCTTGATATAATCCAGCGGTTCTCAACCTATGGGTCGGGACCCCATTTGGGGTCGATCGACCATTTCACGGGGGTCGCCAAGCAAGGCTGTCCGCCATTTTTTTCCCCCTTTTCCGGCGGGTGCCTTACCTCCCTTGGGCTGGGCCAGCTGGTGGTCGGCCTGCTCCGTCTCTGCCGCTTGCCAGCTATGCCTCGGCCGGCGCAGGGGGCGGAACCACGCATGCGCGGCGCTCCCGGGCAGGGAAAGTCCTCGACTTACGACCGGTTTAGTCCTCGACTTACGACCGATTGGGGGTCGCGGCATTAAAAAGGTTGAGAACCACTGATATAATCGCTCTGCATGCACCCTTTGGGACTATTTCCTGCAAACGATTGGGGGAAATAGCAGAGGATGACTGATGCCATCTTGTCCCAGAGAATTTGTGTTCAATCAGAACTCGGCCAACTAGCAGTAAGACACTCTGGTGTCACTGCTAGTCACCCTGGAGCCACATTGTGTCTCTTTCTGGAAGTTTAAAATCTTAGATATTACAGTTGAGGAAAGCCTGCAGAGCATGGATTTGGGTCTGCTTCCTTGGATCGGGGATAAAAAGATTGGCTTTGCCAAAAGAAAACTGATTTTCAAATCCTTGACATCCCTCTGCTGTAAATTATTGGTAGTGCAGTGGAAATAAGAAAGCAAACCAAACAGACTTTGCTCTCCTTGGATTGGTAGAACAAGCTGGGCATGGTATCTGTGGTTCCCATGACCAGTTCCTGTCCTTGCCCCTGTTTTAAATAAGGAACTGCTCTTGTTCTATTTTTTAAAACCATGAGCCACAGGATTACATAGTAAAAGTGGTGCCCTCCAGATGGAATGGCTATGTCCAGATCAAATGGTACAAACTGTGTGCCGCAACCAGTTGCCCACCACAAATGTAAAATAGCTCCTGGTGATTTCAGACAGTTGTTTGTGGCTCTTAGTTTTACCAAAGAAAGTAAGAAGTAAAATCACGTCTGGTGTTTTCTCTTAAATTATCTGCATGAGTTCATGAAAAATTCCAGTGTTGTTTTTTTTTTTTTTGAACAATGTTTTGAGCCAATCCATTGTTTTAGTAAAATCATTTTGGCCACTTCTCAATTACAGTTTTAAAATGACAATTAGTTGTGATGGCAGGTCCACATTGGCAAACTACTGAGTTTACTGCTAAAACTTTTCGAAATGGTGGCCTATGGAAGGGCTTTCAAGTGAAGAACAGCAAATTGACCCCTCTTACTTTCCAGCAATGCTTTCTACTAATCCAAGATACTTTTTAAAAACTTTTTATCCCACTGGAGGATCATTTTTGGAAATAACCTCAACTGGAAGAAGGAAAAGTTACAAATATTCTTTTTTCCAAAAGAATGGCCAGTGAGGCAAATGACCCTTTTATCCTTTTTCTCCCCCCCCCTCCCTTTACAAATTCCATCCTTTCATTATATCTGGATGTGCCTTTGGGTTAAACTGGTTTACTTTGTAATTCTAGTCACAAAGCCATCCTGTTTATGTGTTGAGAGAACAAGTGTCTTTTAAAAGTATTAAATAATACCATTTGAGTGTTAAAAATGGATCTTTTGCAAAGAGCTTTGCTTGACCAATACATCCCTCTTTCTGTCAATCTCTTTGTGGCATGTAGGCTTGTCCTCTGAATGCCACCCCTTATTGTGGCAGTGGCAAGAGCAGTCAGCAAGTGTGGGAAGAGTTCCTACAGTGCTTCACACCAGCTGTCAAGGAGGTGGTCGAGTTTGCCAAGAGCATCCCGGGCTTCCAGTCACTCTGCCAGCAGGATCAAGTGATGCTCCTCAAAGCGGGCACTTTCCAGGTCAGTGCTGGGTGCATTCTTTCTGTGGACAGCCCCCAAATCTGTGCAAAAAAATGATTGATGCAAACTTAAGGTTAGCCTTGGGATCTTTTCTGCACTGCAACTGTGCTCAGGATGATTTTTTTTTGTTTTGGAGAGAAGCTATGAGGGCACACAGCAAGAATGAGGAAGTGCAAAGAGAATGGCTCTTTGGGGGATAGGTTTGTTTTCCACAGTCTCAAGTGTTATGGAATTGCCTTTTAATTGTCAAATAGCTTTGCTATCATCTGGAGAACATAAATCTTGTTGGCAAGGTTTCACTGGAGCTGAAGCTGAAACCTCCCTACAGACTGCCTCCTTACTGCTTTTAGTGTTGGAATAGGGAATTTTCCTCATAATTAAGACACTCTCTTCTCAGAATTTGGAACTCTTTCCAAATAGCATTCTTGTGTCCCAGCAGTTGCCCAACTGTGGAAAATGCAAGTAAGGGCAAGAAAGTTTTACCTACAAATTTTATCAATTTTACACTTGAAGCAGATTACTGGTTAGGCCTTTGGCTTGCTCTCATGATGCAAACAGCATGCACGTAGATGCTGCCTCACCGGGCACTTTTTTTTTTCTCCAAATTTCTTTGTGTTTCTTCAGATGCAGATGGAGATGATAACAAGTTTGCTCTGGGAAATTATGAGTTGCTAGCTGTGTTTCTTCATTCAGTGGAAAATGTGTTTGTCAAAAAGATGTGTCTTTCCTTAATGTGACACTGTTCCACTACTCGTCCTTTCATAGGTGCTGATGGTACGCTTCTCCACCCTCTTCAGTCCCAAGGAGAAGAAAGTAACATTTCTGAGTGGGGAAACATATTCACTCGGCAGCCTACGTTCCATGGGCATGGGCTCTCTGCTGGATGCCATGTTTGAGTTCAGCGAGAAGCTCAGTTCCTTGGGGCTAGATGCACAGGAGATGGCCCTCTTCATGGCTGTGGTCCTTGTCTCAGCAGGTGGGTGTAAGCTTGTGTTACAACCAGACTTTGGGTAGTGAGACATACTTGTTGCAAGAGCTCTTGTAACTTTCGCTAAAGGCCTGCCTTCTCGCTGTAATCCTGTGTTGGAGACTGTATAGGTAGTCCTCGACTTAACAACCATTCGTTTAGTGACCAAAGTTACAACGGCACTGAAAAAAAATGACATAAGATCATTTTTCACATGACAGTTGATGTCGTGATTATGATGATCACATAATCAGATTTTGGATGCTTGGCAACTCATATGTAGTGTCCCAGGATTATGTGATCACCTTCTGCAACCTTCTGACAAGCAAAGTCAATGGGGAAGCCAGATTCATATGACATCCGTGTTACTAACTTAGCAACTGCAGTGATTCACTTAAGAACTGTGGCAAAAAAAAGGTTGTTACTTAACTAACTGTCCTGCTTAGTAATGGAAATTTTGGGCTCAATTGTGATTGTAAGTCAAGGATCACCTGCCTTGTGGAGGATCATATAGATGGAGTCTATGTGCCAGTAAGATCATTTCTGTAACCAAAACAGAATGGAACCCAATTTGATATGGAAGAAGCCTGCAGAAGGAAGGATGGGTTAAGAAATAGATCCAGCTGGAATCTGGGGAGAAAAAAATAACCCCCCAGCGCATCCCAGTAAAACGGGCAATTGAGCTGTTTTTTGACATTTTCTGGTGAGAAGGAAGATACTTAAAAATAGTACAATGAAACTTTTTCTCAGCATAGGGGCTTATAGGCAGGTTCTAATGAATTTACCATTTAGAAATGTGGATGCAATTGTGATTATGCTAAAGCTGTGGTATTGGGTACAAGATTAAATTTCTTAGAATTCCATTAAAATTCCTCTATCCAGTGAGCAAGTAGGTGTGCAAGAAATAACTACTGAAATTTCAGAAGTCCAACCAGTATTAAGTTTGTCAGAAGAGTCTGTTCTGTCCTTTTTGTGCATCTCGAAGAACCAGATTATGAAGGGTCAAAAACAGTACAATGCAATATAATATAATTAGATAAACTGCAATTGTAGTTATATTCCATGCATGCATATACTTTGCATTGTACATCATCTTATGTAGAACACAGATCACTTTCACATTTTGTATTTTATATATTTGATAATGCATTTGATACTGACAAATCTAGTGAAATAGTGCAGTTCGACCTTGATTTATGACTGGTCAATTAATAACTATTCAAAGTTACGGCAGACTTCAAAAAGCTACTTACAACCTGTTCTTAAAGTTACAACTGCTGTCTCCCCCTCTTTCATGGTTCATGTGATCAGATTTTGGGTGCTTGGCAACTGGGGCTCATATTTACGATTGGTTGCAGTGTCCCACAGTCATGTGACTGGTTTGTGACTTGCTGATTTTCAGCAAAAAAAATACCCCTTGGATATGCTAGATTCAATTAAGGGCCATATGGTTGGCTTAACAACCATATGATTAATTTAATGACCATGATGACACACTTTATGTAAAAATGGTTGTAAAATTGAGTTTAGTCAGACTTACGACTGCAATTCCAGCCTCCATTTTGTTTGTAAGTTGAGGGCTACCTTTAAGTGGTTTAATTCTCCCGAATATGTTATCATTTTTCCAAGACAGCTAAACCCATCCCCTCTTTTTCCATATCTTCTTTATTTCTCTTTAATTTTTAACACCTTTGTTTTGGCTTTCAGATCGCTCTGGGATCTCCGATGTGGATGCTGTTGAAATTCTTCAGGAGACATTAATCCGGGCCTTGAGAACTCTAGTAATCAAGAAGCATCCAGATGACTCCACACTTTTCCCTAAGCTGCTTCTCCGTCTCCCCGACTTGAGAACTCTGAACAAGCAGCATTCAGAGAAACCTCTTGCCTTCAGGATCAACCCTTAATTCCAGCACATCAATCTCATAAGCCCTAAGACTTCAGGAAAGAAAAAAAAATCCACCATCAAGTAAATTTACTGCAGCGGACTAAATGTTGCTCTTTGGGAAATGACCGTAATGATGAAATAAGAGGTGTAGAAAGGATACGACAAAGGCAGGAAGCCTATAGCCCCTGGCAGCTTGTTGGAGTAGATCCAGTGAGGAGAGAGATGGGATAAAGGAAGGAAGGATGCATTTCCCAGATAGCGCTCTCCACAGCACAATGCAGACTGAAGATCATTTACGTGCCAAGAGAGATCAGGCAAACAAACTGGACACATCTGTTATTTCTAAATGGGTGTGGGTGTGTATACACACGCATGCATATATCCACACATATATTTCCATACGGTGTTGTTTTGAGGCTCTACCCTGTATATAAATGCACCAGCTACATTGTACATAAGAGTAATCCTTGGTAGCTTTTGAGGGTGGGCAAATGTAGGACCACCTGGTAAGGCAGTTACTGCAAAATCTAGCTTCCTTAATCTGCACGCTAGTGAAGTCCCAAGTCTCAAAACTTTTTTCTTTTCCTTTGTTAGCCTCTGTTCCTTTGCTGCTATTTTCAGAAAGTGTGTATGTATGTGTGTACGCACAAACAAAAGAGATTTTACTGAGTAGATGGTCTGATCAAATAGGAAATAGAACTATTTAAGCTTTCCACCTCCACCCCCATCTCGGCAACTGTTTAAACGACAACCCAGTTCTCTTTCATCTTGTTAGGTATGAGTGTCTAGATAATAACATATTTCATAAAGATCTCAAACAAAAATACAAAGGGTCTTCCACCAGTTTGTGACAGATTGGTTCTCCATAATTTGTGGATACAGCAGATTAAAGAGGCGGTAAGAGGAGGAAAGCTATGGAGATACTATCAGTTGATCAGAAGTCTGGTATTTCAGCAAGTGATAGGAAATGGATTGTAGTTGGATGACTTGAAAGAGCTACAAGTAGTCCTCAACTTACAACAGTTCAAAGTTACAATGGCACTGAAAAAAATGACTTACGATAATTTTTCACACTGACGACCACTGAAGCATCCTCATGGTCGTGTGATCAAAATTCAGAGGCTTGGCAGCTGGTTCATATTTATGACGGTTGCAGTGTTCTCAGGTCCTGACAAAGTCAATGGGAAAGCCAGATGTCACTTAACAACCATGTGACTAACTTAACAACTGCAGTGATTCACTTAATTGGCAAGAAAGGTCATAAAATGGGGCAAAACTCGCTAACATGTCTCAGTTGTGGTCGTAAGTTGAGAACTACCTGTATTGGAAGAGAGAAAATGATTTGGATTAGCCAGTCTTCCTTCCATCCCTATAAGGTTCAGCCATGAGGAAGAAAGGGCTAAGCGAAGCAAACACTCCGAGACCTTTTCTGCTCAGCTTTTCTGATTACTTTCTGGGCTTTGGTGCTTTTCTGTCTGTTCCCCCTAAAGAATGAAGTTTGGGGTATTTTATCCTAGAAACCCTTGGCCTCTCATTTTGACATCCAAATCCCATTCCTTTTTAAGGATGGGGCCAAGAATCCCAAGCACTTTCCAAGCTGCCTTTCTTATTATATTCAGCACCGTCTTTTATTATAGATTTCCCATGTAAACCCCGAATTTTTTGGCTACTTCACCCAATCATCAGTAGACTGCCTTCCTTAGGGAGTGGTGTGTTCTTTGCACTTTATATTACTTTTTTTTTTAAGCAACCAGATTCTGTGCCAAGAAATGTGTAAATTATGACCTGAGTAAATTATTCAATTTAAACAGATGCCATATTAGTTTATTTTGCATAATTTACTCTGCTTCCACTAGTCATGGACGATGAAAGTGAAGGTGGCATTGGAAGCTATGCTGCATACTGAAGTTAGTTCCACCCTCTGATCTCTTAAAAATTCTGTTATGGTTTTTCTGGGTTTCTGAGACTGTACATCACAGTGGCACATCAGTGTCCCGAGCAATATGTATATGGTTTGGAGCACCAAAGGGTCACATGGGTGTGTACATTCAATTGCATTCTGTGTTGTTTTATTATTTATGCCCGATTGTGACACAGCATTGGAGAAATGGCTCTGATGTATGTTTGGGACTTGGATTTTGCTGAAGCCCAACCTTGAAAGAATAGAAAATGTATTTTCCCACGACAAATAGAAACAGAATGAAAGAGGAGATGTGCAGGATGCTAACTTCTATAACTCCATATTCTGTGCTCAAAATGAGATGGAACGGCAGATGCACATGTTTAATACACTTGAGCACTCTAGGCCTTGAGAACCTAAGAACTATTTTTCCCCATATCGAACTATAGATTTAAAAGAAGAAGCCGACCCATTGGGATGTTTTTAAAAGACTCGGAGATGACCAAAAAAGGGACCCTGGACTCCCTCTTCTCTCCAGTAGGATCTCCCAGTGTCCCCGTCTGGTTGTGGTCAGCCCTGCCTGGTTCTCTACATTGATATATGACAGGTTTTCCATCCCATTTACAGGAGGTCTCATAGCATGTTTGGATCACCCTCCTGATGCATGATGTGGGGAATATTCGGTGTTCTTTGCAGGGTGGGAGGGACACTTGCTGCTGCTGTTCAACACTGCTTTGAAAATGAAACCAAACGTTGCACTTTCTTAGAGATGTATGTAGGAACAAAGAGTCCCCTCCCTAAACTGAAGTATATTTGCTGCAATGGGAAAATGGAGAGGGGTTTATTTGCTGCTGCTGCTGCTACTGCTACTGCTGGGAGTCCAAAAGACTCATAAAAGATGCTGGCAAAGCAGAGAAAAGAGAGAATTTATTTTTTGTCTAAAATTGAAGTGCAATAAATACATGAAAAAGATAAATAAAATAAATATTTGCTAACAGTACAAGCTTTCTGTCCTTCTTGTGGTCAGGAGTTAGGACTGTGACAAAAAAGGGTTCCAAGATTCACAGTCTTGGTAGTACCAAACTTAAGAGCAGCCAACCAGGTGATCCTTGGAACCAGGCAAGCAATTCAGGACCGCAGTAGCCCTCTGTCTTGTTCCCGAACAATCAATCTATGGAAGCAGACTGATTCCCTCCGGAGGCTTCATAATGCAGAACTGAACAGATTTGGCTTTATGCTAGAAGAACAGTTCTCAACCTTTTCTTTACCATGTACCCCCTTTAAATGCCTTTTGTGACCATAGAACATGGTCATGGACCCCTACGACTTAAGATTTAAACCATTTCTTCAAGCCTTCACAGACCTCCTGTGACAACATTGTGGTTCCCCCCCCCCCCAGAGGTCAGCGGACCACAGGATGAGAACCATTGTGCTAGAACATTGAGTTCGGCCAAGGGGAGCTTATTACAAAACCCAAACATTTAGAGCCCAGATATTGGCGTAGAGCAGGATCCCCAATCCCCGGTCGGTAGATTGGGATGGCTGCAGCATGCCAAACATTGGGCCGCGCAAACAAGCAAAGCTCCATCCACGGGTTGCAGAGGCAGCACACAAAGCCACGCCCCCTCTGATCTGTGGAAAAACCTCTCCATGGAACTGGTCCCTGCTGCCCAAAATATTGGGGGCTGCTGGTGTAGAGTTTAGAACTGAGAAAAGAAACATGCTCCTGACTTATTAATATCAGCAAAATAATCTACCCTGTGAGGCTGGTGGATGCTACAGTAATGTTAAACTAATTACGATATTCCTGCTGAACTACTGCAGATTTTCCAAATATCTGCTGGGTGACCTGACTTGTCCATCTCTGATGGCAATCACCTTCATGATTAGTAGAATAACCCTCCAGGAATAGGACTCATCTGTTGAACATCTGCCTATCAAAATACTTGGGGGCATGGTCTAACTGGTCACAAAACTTCATCTTGTATCCATGATAGGACACCTGCACAAATCGATTCCGGGATCCTTGATTTATTTTTTAATTAGAATTTAATTAGAATTTTTGAATACAATAAAAGTATTTAAAAAAGAAAAAGAAGTAAAGAGAAGACAGAAAATAAGAAAAAATATGGGATTATGATTTCCACCCTTCTATGTAGTAGTTCCCGTCTTATGCTTTCTCCTCCCTCTTTAATCCTTTTTATTCCCCAAATCCGTAAATCATCAATATAGTTTTTTCTTCTTGCAACAAATTTTCCAGTTCTTCAAATAAGTCTTTATTGCTTTTTTTACAAGGGTCTATGATCTAAATAGTCCCAAAGCTGTGCCATCGGATCTAGAACCAATGATGGTTAACACAGACCTAAAGTATGAGGCTTTATTTTTGTTCTGGCTCTGTCCATGTTTGGTTTATGCATTTAAGAGTTAATTTTTTTCCAGACTGAGTATATACTGTGTCAAGTACTGCATTCCCTCAAAACAAATTCTTAAGGCTGAAGAAAAAAGGTAGGACCTACAGATAGTCTTTGACTCATGTCTTTGACTCACAACCACAACTGAGCCCAGAATTATGGTCATTAAGTTGTTGCTCTCATCAAGCAAGGCATGTAGCTCCACTGTCAATACCATACAATGTCTCAATGAAAAAAGATTAAAATACAATCCCAGTAGTAGTAAGTCTAGTTTTTAGAAAGAAATAAGTTTGGTAGACCTTGTATTCTTCAAAAGACAACTGGACTTCCTTGTTTTTCTTTGAAGATGTTTCACTTCTCATTCAAGAAGCTTCTTGAAAAGGCACCTTTCAGACAACCGTGACCTGGATGACTGAGAATCTCCATAGACAGGTAGACCTTGTAGCATTCCTTTAGGTAAGATTTTCTGCCTAGAGACCACATTTGGAACAACTGTTTAGAAGACTCCTTCCCAAGCTCTCTCATTAGTGTGTTTTCAGTTTGAAATGGGCAGGCATAATGAATATCCTCTATTGTTTGTAATACTATCAATATACACAAAACCTCGAAGCAGTTTCACAACTATTTGAAAATGTTAGATGGTAAGGTGACAGATGATGCACAAGGGGTGCCTACATGCATGCAAACACACTAATGCCCAGCCTGTGCACGGGGAAGAGGGGAATCTAAATTTGCAAGAGGGTGGGAGCAGCAT